CTCAGCCAGCGCCGCTTATGTCCCTCCTGTCTGCCACTCAAGCAGGTTTTTCCTTTGCCTTTTGCTGCTGAAAATTATGCACTTTGTATGCAGAAAAGTTGGCGAGGCGATAAAAATCTGCATAATTCCAAGCCATAAGTTTATTGCCGTTTTCCTAGCCACAAGATACCCGTACCACAAGACCCACAAGACCCACAAGATACAAGATACAAGAGTGAGATGTACAACAACAGCAACAACAAAAAGGGGGAGATTTTTTTTTGTTTTCTGCCTGCCTGCCCTTTCATAATCGTAATCAATATTAAGTTATATGATAAATTATCTGCGGGATCTTCTGCCCAAATTGCAGCATTTAACTTGTCAAAGGGAAATTATCGGAAATTATGCTAAAAAGGGTCCCACAAACCGCTGGAAATTACTTTCGGAACTTAACTGTCAATTTGTCTCATGGGTTTATCGGGCGAGTGATCGAGTGGGCCATCCGATGGCTTCGACTGGCAGGGAGTGGAGGAAGAGAGAGTTGCCAGATGGACAGGAAAGTGCAACGGGAATAAAGTAGAATAGGGTTCTATATAGAGTTTACAGTACAAACCCAAAAGATGGACATTTCTTTCATCTTTTAGGATTTCCAGACGATTGAAGGGACAGATGGCACCCACAGATTTATCTCTAGCTAAAATTCCCTTCACTCCTCATTTGGATCTCCCACAAAGTCCCACCCACAGCCACCGAAAGCCCAAAATCCAAAACCAAATCAAAACCAAACGAAAAACACCTTGCGGCCGTTGTCTGGGTCTAGCCCTGAATCAAGTTCAGGTGCAACAACAGACCCAAAACAAATGAAATCCTAATAACTTTGGGGGCAACCAACAAAAAAAGTGCCACAAGTCCAGACAGAGTCGAGACCCCCAGAGAGAGCGAGAGAGAGAGAGGGAGACAAAAAGAAATTGGTTGCACCTGCAGCACCTACGAAAAAAAAGGGGGGGTTCGGAGCAAGTAATTGCCCGAGTGGGGCACACAAATTGTGGCAGGAAAGCAGGAAAGGGAGCAGGCATCAGCGGCGGCGGCGGCTTCTCTTTTGTGGGTAACCCAGAGCCCAGAGCTGTGGATTTGCTGGAGGGCCCAGTCAAGGCGGAAAAAGGGGCAACTGATGAACGGTTGATGATGATGGCAGATACTTTCTAGGCAGCATAGGACTACAATGTGTTGGCCAGGAATAGAGCTGCCTACTCGCAGAATGACAAATGAAATGGAAATCGGCTTTTGAGAGAGGTTTTACACGGGTTTATTTCACTTTTAATTCGAGTCTGGCAATGCCTATTTGCATAGAGTAAGACATTAAGGCAATGCCAGGATCTAGAAGTGGAAATTCTAGGAAAAGAAAATTGATTTTAGAGAAAGACATTCATTTATTTAAGGGGCTAAAATCCAATTGTTTTGGCCTGGCAATGCCTCTATGAAGCAATAAGAAAATATGGCAGTGACTCGATATAGAAGTAGAAATTCTAGGAATATAATATTTATATTAGAGAAATTTACATTAATTATTTATTATTTAAGGAATTAAAATAAATTTTTTTTTGCCTGGCAATGCCTCTACGAAACAGTAACTAAATATGGCAATGCTGTAGCTCTATATTAAGGTTATGTAAAATTTCTATAAGCGCTTTTAGACCATATATCTCGTAGATATTTAAGTAATTCTGTGTTTTTTTGGCAACAATTTCCTTAAGGAGTACAACAAATATGGCAAATTTATGAAGTATAGATTCGAATGCCTAAATAAATTATATTTGTACTTTTAAATATCTTTTTTTTTAGGTTTTATTTAAACTACCAAGAAAAACCATCAAAAAAATTCCAAAAATGTTCTGTAAATTTTATGAATAATTTCCAATAAATTTGATCTTAAATTTCCGGACCCCTGGCCACACCAATCAATACGAAATCCCATAAATATTACCCCATATAGTAAAAATCTTTCCCAATTGCTATTTTTCCTCCTACTTAAATTTAATTAATTTTTATTTTTGAATAATTAAATCTCTGCAACTGCTGCCAAAAGAAAGTATCTTTTAGATAGTTGTTGAAATTTATTTCCTGCCTCTAGCCGCCCCACAATTAGCCACGCCCTCTTTCTCTATCTTTCTCAATCTTTCCTTTCTTTCTATCTTTCTATCTGGTTTCCACACAGGCAGGTAGCACTCCCGACATCCGGTTAGTGCTTACTTTGTTGCTCTGTTGCTGGTGTGCTTCTGCTGCAAATGTTAATTAAATACCTGTCCATCTATTAAAAACATACGTAAATTTATGTTGTTAACAAGGAAGTGCGCTCTGGTATGGTCTGTGCGCATGCGCACACTTTTATTATTATCATCGTCGTCCGTAGCCCGTCGCTCAAGCGCACATCAAGCGATGGCCAGGTTACCATTTGGCCAGCATTTCCACCTCCTCTCCGGCTCTCCACCACCTCTGCTGCAGAGAGTCTCTCTCTCTCTTGTAACTGTTTGCAGCCATTTGCATATGTCGCCGAACGTTTGCGGGTTTTAACGATGCTGGGGCTGCTGCGACTGTCGCCACGTCGCTACGTCATTCGCTAATTGGTCGAGATACAAATCGCCACGAGAGAGTGACGACAATGAAGGCTATGGCTATGGCTATTGCTATTGCTATGGCTATGAGGAAGAGGATGTGGAAGAGGCGTTGCCTGGACGACAACGATTGCTGTTGCTGCTGCCTAGAGTAGTGCCATACCGGTCATCATTACCCTGGTATCCGAATACAGCACTCCACCTCCACCTCCACCTGCACTCCACTCCTTGCCTCCTCCTCCTCCTCTTGGGGGCACTTTCTTTCGCCCGGTGCGTTGCCTCTGTCAAATATTTGCTCAAGTGTTTTCTTGTTGTCTGCTGGACAAGGCGCAAGCAATTTGCTTTATGGGATTTACTTGTACTAGCGGTTAGACGGCAGGCAGCCAGCAGGCCTGCATTTTTTTGGGAAAGTGGACATCGAAAATTTGGTTAGCCTTAATGCACATTCAAGGTGTGAAAACCGCACCCCCCCACCCTTCCCCCTATCACCATGCGATAGGCAGAACTGGTTCGCCAAGTAGTGGGGTACGCATGCGCGTCTCTAGAGGAGGAGGAGGCGGCGTAGATCTCTATGGGTCTCTCCTCTAAATAGTTCGATTTCCCAATGTTAAAATCTCTGTCGATCTGCCTGTCTTTTCCACGGCGGTCATTAAGTTCAGTTTCAAAGTGGCTATCGCCTTAAGATGTCAATTGTTGAACTAGTTCTTGATGGGGGCTTGGTTGAATGTCAATTGAAAGAACTAGTTCTGGAGTTCAAACTGGCATTTAAAAGTTGTGGCACTGCAATAGGGCAGCAAATGCAACGATGGTTTGGGAATGGTGCTATAGAACGATACATCGATAGATCTTTTCAGAGTAAAAGTCGAATTTCGAAAACTAGAAAATGAAAATCAAAGACAAACGAGGGGGAACGTTGTGAGTTGCTGCGGACACCGCAACTCTACAGTTATACCCGATACTTAGTCAGTATGGCTTTCCTCCGGCAGACGCCGCTAATATTAAACGACACGACAAAGAGTGCGTGCGAGAGAGACAGAAAATAAGGCTGAGCGTGACGTCGGGCGCTGCGTAGCCACTGCAAATTGATTTGTTCCTTTTGGCTATAAAAATGATATGATCTGATCCAGATACAGCAAGCTGATAGATATGGTCATTATTTATGATTCTGCGTTTTTAGTTTTCTCGAATGTGCAATATTGTGGATGCAACAGATTTTCGTCCTTTGTGGGGGCGGATGGGGGTGGGGCGAAATTCTGAGATATACGTTTTATAGTGACATCTTAAAGGAGTGTGTGTACCAAATTTGGTTACTCTAGCCTTTATAGTCTCTGAGATTTGTGGTTGCCTCAGATTTTCGTCCTTTGCGGGGGCGGAAGGGGGTGTGGCGAAATTTTGACACAAAACGGTCAAGGTCCGATATCACAGGAGTGTGGATACCAAATTTGGTTGCTCAAGCTCTTATGGGTTCTGAGATCCTTGAACTCATATTTTGCAATTGGCAAAACCGACCATGAAACCTGTGTGTTAGAGTGAGACAGAGCGAGAAAGAGTGAAATTGTTTTCGTGATTCTGGCTGTAATAATTATACGATCTGGTTCAGATTTTGCACTCTAGAAGATTTAGTCATCTTCTACGATTCTGCGTTTTTAGTTTTCTCGTATCGTCGAAATTGTGGATGCCACAGATTTTCGCCTTTTGTGGGGGCGGAAGTGGGCGGGGCAAAGTTTTGAAATATTTTTGGAGCAGTGACATATCACAGAAGTCTGGATCCAAAACATCGTTGCTCTAGCTCTTATAGTCTTTGAGCACTAGGCGCTGAAGGGGACGGACAGACGGACAAACGGACGGACGGACAGACGGACAGACGGACGGACGGACAGACAGACATGGCCCAATCGACTCGGCTATTGATGCTGATCAAGAATATATATACTTTATGGGGTCGGAAACGATTCCTTCTGGACGTTACACACATACACTTTTACCACAAATCTAATATACCCCAAAACTCATTTTGAGTATCGGGTATAAAAACTTAATTTCTAAAATTTTCTTGAGCAAAAAATGTAAAAATTAAAAGGAATCCTCCGTAGGATACGATCCGCTCCACTCCAATATTGGAAGTGCAAATTTGTAATTTTTTTTAAAATTATTTATCAACATATTTCGAACCATTCGACGGTGAATGCCTTAGATCTTTAGAACTAGTTAAACAAAGAAACGAATACTTTTTCTTTTGCCCATAAAAACCACCTGCTCAATGACTCACTCACAGAGTTCCCTTTAAAATCGTAGCCGCCTCAAAACTACTAAAAAATTCTTATCTCAAATTAGGCAAATATCTATTGGAATTCATGGAAATGCCAATCGATAAGCGATCTATTAAAAAGTATGTCAATAAGAACTCACCTTTGTTCTGTACAATGGATTGCTAAAGTCCCAGTCGGGTGCCACAAACAGATATCCGCATTTGGAGACCTTGCGCGATGCCTAAAGACGAGAGAAATGTGGAGAAAAGATATTAGTTTAATATTTATGATAAAATCACAAGAGGAGTGTTGAATAAGAAGATAATGAAGAAATATCAAGGCTAATAAATTACATAACAGGAAAACTATAACAAACAAAATTATGTAAATATTTACAAATTTTTTATTTATGAAATATTTCGCAAATTATGCAAAAAAAAAACCAAAACAATCTGCAAAAATCGGTTATCATATCTCCGCTTATCTGTTGACCAAAAAAATATACAACAAATATTTAAATGGTTTTTTAATTAACAAAAAAAATACCCAAAAATACAAAAAAAAAAATAAAAATGTTAGCACATTTTTTTATCGGTTCCGTTGCCTGCTTATCGCCGAGACTTCTTTTGTTGTGTGTGTGTGTGTGGCGCACGTGTCGCTAAAAGATACAAGTTTGTTTGTTTGTATCTGTACCATTTTTTTCATTTTTTTTTTTGGGGTTTTTGGCTTGCCCATAACTATCCGTCTAAGCCATGACTAATGTTAATGACGTGCGCCAATTTAACTGCCGGCACAGCGGCTGTTGTGGCGGTATTTTTTTCGTTTTTTTTTTTGTACAAATAAAATAAATTACAACCAGACCACTTTGGCGGTCTGTATATATCCAACAGTTACACAGATACACAAATATATATCTAGTATATATTGTGGTAGTGGCGGGTGGAGGGGGGCGGGAGGGTCTTGGCCTTTTGCACACCTCTTGGAGCCCCGCCAAACAATAAGCGACAATTGGGGCTGCTTTTAAAGTGGATTTTGGTCGTTAGTCGCGCCCCACACACGCCATTAAGCCGCCGCTGCTGCCAGTCGGGTCTTTGGTCTAGTTTTGCTTTTGTTTTCCTTAGCTCTTTTTTTTTGTTTGACAAAGCTGCAAATGAGAGTGCCAAGTGGGGGCACAATGTGGATGCAATTGAACCTCCACCCGGACTGAACTGCGGCATTTAATTTGCGAACAGCAGCATCAGGCAGTGGTCGGTCGGATGGTCGCCAATCAGTTGGTAATTAAAGGAAAATGAAAGGGAAAACTACAAAGAAAAGTGGGGATATACAGGGTCTACTGTGGTGTCCATCACAAAAAATATATACCCTTCTATGGCCTACATAAACCCCACTTTTCTTTACATATTTCCCTATCTAGGCTCCCTTTAAAACCCCACCCTAAACAGGGGACCTGCAATTAAATCCATCAAAATATAGGTCCTACCGTTCACCCCCATCCCTGCCGTCTTGGACCTCTGGTCATGTCTTGTAAGCTGACACCATAAAATGTTTACAGCAAACAGAAAAATCAACCAAAGCCCCCGAAAATGAAAACGAAATGTGTAACACGGTAGTTCCCACCAGCCATTCCATGGCACTCCATTCCATGGCACTCCACCACTCACTCGGGGCTCGTTTCGGCTCTCCAACTATCCAACAACTTAGCGGAAAAGCCTCCCACTACCACCAGCAGACCTCCCCCCACTCCATCTACCCCTACTCCTTGCTCCAAGGAGGTCTCTAATCCCAGCTGTTGCTCTGAAAACTCCACTCCTACCCCTACTATATGCAGTGCCATATACACCAAAGGGCAACAAAATAGCAACAAGAGAAGATATACTATCTTTACAAAAGGGATTTTTGGTGCTTTATAGGAATTTCAGTAAGTTTTTAGCAATTATTTGGGAGTAAAGTATGGGTTTTGCATGATTTATTCACTTTTTAAACCTATTTTTGGCATTCCTAGAACTCTTTTCGATCTTATAGCGATCGTATCAATTAGATTTTCAAAAAAGCAGAGCAATTGAATGATTTTTATAGACAGAATGGACAGAACAAGCTTTCCATGGCGCTTCCTGGCTCTCTCCCAGAGTTGCTTAGCGGCAAAGGGTGGAAAGTGTCTTCAGATCAGGCCTCTCTGCCAATGAGGCTTAGCAGTAAAGGGTGTTTTCGCTCTCTCTCTCTATTTGCCCCTCTTCCAGCGTGACTTAGTAGTGAGGGGTGGGTTTTAATATCCCTCAAAAAGAGCGCATAGCTTGAAAGCTCTCATCCAAATATTCCCCTATATTTCTCCCTCTTCCAGTGTGGCTTAGCAACATTCCCTTTCTCCATGGCTAGCTCTCTCCCGGCGAGATATTTCTCTAGTTTATCCCGATTTCCCTCTCTCCAAGTGCTACTATTTTCTTGCACTGCCATTGTATGCATTTTTTGGGGTCTCGCTGGCTGGCCTGGCTTTCTGCCCTGGCTGTCTCGTTTGCAATTACGTCTGGCTAATTTTATTTATCTGTTGTTGTATTTTTTGTCTGCATTTTGTTTTTGTTTTTTTGCATTTTTATGATATTTTGTGTGGTGCTGTTGTTGTTGTTGCTGTTCGGCGGTGGGTCGTTTAAATGCGCCATTAACATTGATTTATGTGAAAAGTCGCACGTTTGTATTCAAATGGGGGGGATCACTGGGGCTACAGACAGAGATAGGGCGAATGAATGAGTGAGAGACTTGCAACTGTTGCAACTGTTGCAAGTTGCAGTGGCAGTAGTCACTGATTTTTGCAACTTGCAGTAGCCGCTGCAGTGGAAACAGCTGCTGTCAGGCTTTCATCAGGTTCAAGTCAGTCGACACGTTTTCCACATAAATTTCAATGGGTCCCAGGTCCCAACAACAACAACAAAAAAAACGTTAAGTGACAGAAATCGTTTGGTTTGGGCCTTAGTGGGTTTTAGTGGGCAGCAGGCCGGCAGGCCGGCAGGCACCTTCTAACGACTCCACTCACACGATCCCCCAATTGCGATCTACTTTTGTCACACAAAAAAAAAAACAAAAAAAATCAGGCTAAAACCCCGTTTTGGCTACCACACGTACCACACACCACACACTCGACTCGTAAGCCCCCGTGCGCTTACAATACTCGTAAATTATCAATGCCAGTCGCAGTCGTCTGGTTGTTGTTTGCACAAATACCAAAAAAAACACCGAAAAATTGTTTAAAAAAAAGTCGGTGAAAAAAAAATCGTGACTAAATGAGTCACAATTGTCTTCCAAATTGTGCGAACACTGTGTTTTTCTTTCAGTTCCCCCCCCCCCAAAAAAAAAAAAAAGAATTGATCAAACACGGCCTGGTAACCGATCGGGGCTTATATGGCGGCTGGGATACTCTCAGGAAATGGTGCTCTTCAAATGCGGCTTGAGAAATTGCTAAATGAATAAATTATAAAAATTATTTGTACGAAAACAAGTGTGGGAAAATCATCAAAGAAGGTTAAATATGTGAAGAAGAATCTATTTATAAATAAAGATCACTCTTCAGTTTCAGTTCACAGCTTCAGTTTTTGGTTGTGGAATAAATTCTGAAAGAATTCTCTTCCTTAAATTCCACTACCTTCTGTTTATTTTTTTTTTTTTTAAGGGTATTCTCAAAACAAATCCCAGGGTAAAACAGAAAAAAAAACAAACCAAAACACATGCTGGAAATTTATGCATCGCGCATGTCGCTGCTGACACACAAATGGAGGATTTTTTCCAAAGAGATAGAGCGGGCGGTGGTGGAGACCTTGCGCGTGCAGAATTTCGAATGCGCTGCCCCCAGAGGGTAGCCAAGAGGTGGGCGTGGCCCTGCCCCAAAATGGGGCTAATGAAGCCAAGTGGCTGGCGTGGAAAAAACAAAAACAAAAACTAAAACTGATTGATCGGGCCAGATCTCTCGGCAGTGGCAGCGAATGGAATGAGTAACTCAAATACGGAATACAGAATACGAATACGTTCACGAATGCTAATGACAAATCAAAAGGTTGTGTGACAGTCATTTCGGGGTTTGATTTCAAGGTGAAGTTTGCCTTGGATATTGCTGAAGAATAAAGGGAAGAAAGGTTTTGTTTTCAGGTGGCAAGGCCCTCAAAAGGCATGGATTCCTCTCCATTATTCTTCTTTTAATTATCTCATTGCACTTTTAATTTACTCTTAATTAATAGAAGTCACTAAATAATCGTGAACCAGTTCTTTATCATTCAAATATAACCATTATTTATTCCATAGCCTATAAAATACTCGGCGGAAAACCATAGAAAGATTAATGGGAATAAAAACTAGTTCAGTTTAATTTATGGAAATTAAATAAAGTAAAAGGGAAACCAAGTCCATTATTACCAGAGATTAATACACTCGATCTATGATTAAATTTATAATTAATTCTTAGATTTATTGAAGGTTATTGAAGAATTATTCTTAAGTACTAGATGAATAGATTTCTAAATTTATGAAATATTCAGAAAATTCAAAGGTATAAAAATGTATAATATTATTATGATATAGAAAATTTTAAAGCAACAAATTTCAATGTTACAATCAGAAGAAAAATTATAGAACGGCGAATATGTTTATGTATATTTTTTTGTATTTAAAAATATAGGCTATTTCAAAGATACAATCATGGAAAAAATAATAGAACGAAATATATATTTTTTTATATTTTACAAAAAACTATTTCTTCAGTGAATAATTTTTCTATATATTTCTAAGACTTTTTTATGTATGAAAACAAAGTTTAAAAAAAAGTTTTAAAACTAAAAAAAAATTCCAAGGATTTAAAGCAAAGAAAACCCCATGAAATGCATGTCTCAATGAATAAGTGAATCTTGCAACAAAACCCCAAAATAAATACACAAAAATACACTCAAAATGCAATCGTGGAAATGCAATAAGGCCTCTCCATGTACGACTAGAACAACGATTATGTGTGTGAATCGAAACGAATCAAATACCAAATACTTAATACTCAAAAGAACGATCAAACGACTACGTGAATACTTACTGGTTCCATCGTCTATTGCGCAAGCGTGCAAGAGAGAATACGAATAGAGAATAGAGAATGTTCATTCGGTTAGTTATAGAATTAATAAACTAAGAGAGAGAGAGAGGAGCCACCAGAATGACTCAATTAACAGCGGCAGCAGCAGGAGGGGGGCCTGCGGATGATGCATTTTGACATTTAGC